TCTTCAACTAGTACACTCTAACTTGGTGTTTTCATGTTCTTTTTTTATAAACGAATTTATCATGTTGTACACAGATGTGGCCAGACTTGATTAAGAAGTCCAAGGAGGGTGGACTAGACACAATTGAGACTTATGTCTTCTGGAATGTGCATGAGCCAGTTCGTCGTCAGTATGATTTTACTGGGAATCTTGACCTTGTTAGATTTCTCAAAACAGTTCAAGATGAAGGACTTTATGCTGTTCTTCGAATTGGTCCATATGTTTGTGCCGAATGGAATTATGGGTACATTTTTTTGTCAACATATCATATAGCTTTACATAATATTTTGTACCAAACACAATTTAACTATTTGGATACAATTTAACTCTCTGGATGTAATAATCAGAGGACTTCCCGTTTGGCTGCACAACTTGCCTGGCTGTGAGATCCGAACCGCAAATGATGTCTACATGGTAATTAATCGCAGTGACTTTTAGTTTACGCAAAACTAATTTTGTTATACAAGTCGCAACACTTAAACATTCTGCAGAACGAGATGAAGAATTTTACAACTATGATGAAACATTTAAACATTCTTATCTTTTGCAGAATGAGATGAAGAATTTTACCACATTGATTGTTGATATGATGAAAAAAGAAAAGCTTTTTGCATCTCAAGGTGGCCCAATTATTATTGCTCAGGTAATATATATGCATATAATTCGATTTCATCATATTAGGTATCAAAATATAAATTTGTTGTGATAAATTGGCCGTAATTTTGTTAGATTGAAAATGAATACGGAAATGTGCAATCATACTATGGAGATGCTGGTAAAGCATATATGAACTGGTGTGCAAATTTTGCCGAATCTCTCGACATTGGAGTTCCATGGATTATGTGCCAACAAAGTGATGCTCCTCAACCAATGGTACAATATTCTTTTTTTCTTTCTTAATTTTTAGTGTTTATAATTGTTACTTATTTATATATCTTTGTTATCAGATGAACACATGCAATGGTTGGTACTGTGATTCATTTACTCCAAATAATGAGAACAGTCCCAAGATGTGGACCGAAAATTGGACTGGATGGTAAGTTCTGGAATTAATACTAATTGAATCAATTTTATGATATATTATTTTTGTTTTGTTACCTAATTTTCTAAATCTATATAATGTTACTGTAGGTTTAAGAGTTGGGGAGGCAAAGATCCGCTTAGGACTGCTGAGGATCTTGCTTTCTCTGTTGCAAGATTTTTCCAGCTTGGAGGCACATTTCAGAACTACTACATGGTTGGCACATTAATTAATTAGATTAAATTGTATTTTGGTTCATTGTAATTTAATTCTTTCTAACATGATTTATGTTTTTTCTTTAAGTATCATGGTGGAACAAACTTTGGCCGAACAGCAGCTGCGTACGTCACTACTACTTATGATTACGATGCTCCTCTCGACGAATATGGTAAGCAAATACTCAAATTTAAGTTCTAAACATGGCTTTGTGTTTGGCTCTTTAACTTCTTAGTTCTTACTATTATCTCATTTTATAGGCAACTTGAACCAACCAAAATGGGGGCATTTGAAAGAACTCCATCAGATTTTGAAATCCATGGAGTATACTCTCACACATGGGAATGTTACAACCACAAATTTTGACAATTCTGTTTCAGTAAGATTATCCTTTTGAATTGATATAACTAATAAACCAAAGTTTTGTAGAATTTCAAATTGATAGGATCGATATGTGCATATATATTTTAGGCCACTGTGTATGCAACAAATGAGTCATCAAGCTGCTTTTTGGGCAATGCAAATAGCACCACTGATGCTACAATCACTTTTCAAGGGAATACATACACCATTCCTGCTTGGTCTGTTAGTATTCTTCCTGATTGCAAAACAGAAGGATATAACACTGCAAAGGTATGAACAATTAACTTTCACTGTGTGTGTAAACACATAGAGTCTGGTTTATTAAGTATTTCTGAACTTCTTTTACCTGGTTTAGGTCAACACACAAACAACAGTTAAGGTGAAGGTAGGGAACAAGGCTGAAGATGAACCCGAATCACTTGCTTGGTCGTGGAGGCCCGAGACCATTGATGACACCAGAGTCCTTGCAAAGGGAGAAATTACTGCAAATCAACTTTTGGATCAAAAGGTTGCTGGAGATGATGCTAGTGATTATCTTTGGTACATGACAAGGTACAGTGGATATTTTAATTTTAATTTTCCATTTGTCCTTTTCTTCTAATATATTTTGTATTTTGGTTTACTCATTTTATTTATCTTGGATTTTTGGCAGTGTTCATCTCAAGAAAGATGATCCAATTTGGAGTAAGAACATGACTCTAAGGGTCAATGGCACTGGTTTCATTCTTCATGCATATGTTAATGGAGAATATGTTGGTAAGACATACAAATATTGTTTCTTGATTAATCTTAAATATACTAATAAATTTGTTGTTTTATAGTTATTTATTTCCTTATATATCCTTGGTGCAAATAGGTTCTCAATGGGCTCAATACAACGTCTACAACTATGTATTTGAGAAGAGTGTCAAGTTGCATCCTGGAAAGAACATTATTTCATTGTTGAGTGCTACCGTTGGATTTCCGGTTAGTATTATTGGATTGTTAAAATTAATTACTTAATTGTCATTAATTATTTCATTTAATTTAAAACTTTGAATCATGATTTGAATGATAACCAGAATTACGGAGGTGGATTTGAAGAGATCAAAACTGGAATTTCTGGTCCAGTTGTACTGGTGGGACAAAATGGTGATGAGATTGTGATCAAGGATCTATCAGCACACAAATGGTCGTACAAGGTTGGACTTCATGGTTTGAAAAACAAGCTTTTTAGCACCGATTCTCGTTACGCTACTAAGTGGTCAACGGAAAACTTACCCATTAACCGGATGCTGACATGGTACAAGGTAATTAAACCTACTATGTACACATATATATTTAACTCATATATATCACTAATTAATAAACTGACAAAGTTAATAACAATTGTTGTTGTTTGATTTTGTTTAGGCAACTTTCAAAGCTCCTCTTGGAACTGATCCAGTTGTGGTGGACTTACAAGGTTTGGGAAAGGGTCACGCTTGGATCAATGGCCATAGTATTGGCCGGTATTGGCCGAGTTATTTGTCATATGATACTGATTGTAGTCTCGATGCTTGTGACTACCGTGGTACATATGACAACAACAAGTGTTCCTTCAATTGTGGCAATCCTACCCAAAGATGGTAAGAACTTTATAGTTTGCGCTTTCATGTTTATTTACTTGACAGTTTAATAACGATCACAGTTTTAATTGCTTTTAATTGTATTGAAGGTACCACGTTCCTCGATCATTTATGGAAGATGGAGAAAATGCAATTGTGTTGTTTGAGGAGTTTGGTGGCAATCCATCTCTTGTGAATTTCCAAACCATCCAAGTTGGAACCGTCTGTGCCCATGCATACGAGAAGCACACAGTGGAATTGGCATGCGAAGGTCGTCCCATTTCTGCAATCAAGTTCGCTAGCTTTGGTAATTCCCAAGGAACCTGTGGATCATTTGAGAAAGGCAGCTGTGATTCTGGACGTGCATTGTCGATCCTTAAAAAGGCAAGTCTTTTTTTCTGAACACTTTAATTTTCTGTGAACTTGAATTTTATGAACCCTAATTTTCTATTTATATTATATCTATGTAATTCCTATTTCTTTTCCCTAATGATTTTGTAGGAATGCGTGGGCAAGGAGAAGTGCTTGATCAATGTTTCTGAGAGCAAATTTGGCTTGACAAACTGCGGTGATGCCGTGAAGAGGCTGGCTGTGGAAGCTGTTTGCTAACAGAGTTTAGATTTTTCTTAATAATTTTGTGTTATGTGATCAGTTTAGTACTAGCTAGCTTGATGATCTAAGTAGCAAGGGTTAGATTAATTAGCTAGGGTTTCTATCAGTGTAGTGACTGTAGTCGGTGTTCGATCAAAGGCACTGCCGCTTTATTTTGCAAATATAAAATTTTTATTTCTTTTAATTTATATTCTTCATTTTCTTTTGTCTCAATTATATATATATTTTAGTAATTTAAATCTCAAAGCATGATAAACTCTGTTGTGCGTGCCTATATATTGTTGAAGGATGACATTTTTTAACTTTCAATAATAATCAATTTAAGTTATTTAACAATTGATTTCTGGTCCTTTAACAAAACTTGTTAATTTTCTCTCTTTTTATTTGAAAGAGACGATAGAAATTGCATTGATAGAGAGAACATCATTACAAAGCAAAGCCGGGGCAAAGAAAACCCAGCTACAAGCTAATACGGAGCAAATACGGGTGAATTTGTGGTTCATTTAGTTTTTTTAGATGGGTCTTGATTCCGGTTTCAAGTCAAATCTCCAATGAAGACTATCACGGATGAGACTGAGGTCGAATATGGTTCGATACCTGCGTTACCTACCAAGCCTACATATCTAGGTTCAAACACATTCTAAATCTAGAACATTTTCAATAACAAGTACAATTATACTGCATGTTACAAGTGAATTAGTAACGTCTAACATTTTTTTAACATGTCACATATCGTATTACAATCATAGAATAATATGTGATTTCATAATACTGTTTTGTCGGATAGTTGAATTTGGATAGAAGCATGCACGTACGGTGCAATTGGTGGGTTGCCCCTTCACTATCACTACTGCTGGATCCTTTGGATTTGGATTGAGATATTACATAAGATGCATGACTTGATTAAAACGTGGGTGCATTTCCTGTTTCGAAATTTTATTCTGGAAATTAGAGTGTGGTATACATTGGGATAATGCCCTTTTTCAATGGTGGCTCATTCTTCTTCTAACATTAAACAATAGGATTGTAAGTAGTGAACTGACTTGAAGAACAACGTATTTTTCTTTTTATATATTGTGTTATGAGTTTGAATTCTCTTTCTTTTTTATTTAGTTTAATGTAGTAACACCGCTTTTAATAAAATAAAATTTGAATAGCATACGTAAGCTGAACTAGTTGGGTAACAACGCGGTCACTTTGTTACACACGAGTTTCAATGAAGAAATACAATGGTCATAAAACTCTATAACATGAACAACGAATTCAATCAAGGGGATGGCCGCACAAAAATCGGTTCACCCATAATCCGGGTTTTTAATAAAGCTCCAGAAACAAAAACTGTCCGGGGCTCCGACCCGTTAAAAAATTTGAATCGTTTTCGTTTTTTAATTGAATTTAAATTTGTTTCCCTTAAAGAAAAAAAATAACGTTAATTTGTACTCTGTACGTCTCTAGAAATTCCAGAGGAAAGACTCCTGGGCCGGACTGAAAAACTGACCGTCCAAGTTCTCTTCCGCGTAGTAATCAACGACCGGCGTTGGCACCGCCGCAGCTGGACTGAAAAACTGATAGTTCATTTCATCAAAACCCGCAAACAACCCGTACTCCGTAGCGTAATTACCCGACCCGAATGTGCTAAAAGGGTCCGAAAACGAATCGTTTGGAGTCACTAGAAATTCGCTTTCCACGAAGACGGTCCCACTCCCCTCCGACACGGACGGAGACCGGGACTCCGCCTGCAACTCCGACATCGACTGAGATTCCGCCTGCAACTCCGACATCGACTGAGATTCCGCCTGCAACTCCGACATCGACTGAGACTCCGCCTGAAACTCCGACATCGACTGGTGGCTCCTCGGAAGCTCCGAATTCGCGAACCTCGCCGCCTCTGTCTGGATCTGGGCCGCGCTCAGGGACCTTCCCCCCGAAATCTCAGGCGGGTTGTCGGGGAAATTAAACTTGGCAGTGTGGCCGCGCAAGCAAAAGAGGGCCGCGTCGAAGGCACGCGCTGCCTTTTCGGGCGCGTCGTAGGATCCCAACCAGATTCGCTCCCGGCTGTTGGGGAGGCGGATTTCCGACACCCATTTGCCCCACTTGCGCTTGCGGACGCCCTTGTACTTGATGTCGTTTCGCTCGGAGGGCTTCCCAATCGTCTGCTTCACCATGGACGACGACGACGTATTAAAGATTTTGGAGAAGTGGATGGACTTGTAGTGGGAAGTGCTTTTGCGATAAGTAATTGTTTGTTCTTGAGGGTTGATTTTGTTGTCCTTGGGGTTTAAGGAATTTGCGGCTGGTGAGTATATATATGTGGGGGAGTTGGGGGCGTGGGAAGAGAGTTGACTGTTTTAGCGCGTCCGGATCGGTTTGAAGGACAACTGGCGGCTTCAGAGAGTGGTGGTACGAATTTTTACGCGGGGTTGAGAGATGGGTTTGGAAGCACGTGTGTTATTTGTTCCTCGTGCGCTCCATTTATTTCCCTCCCTGTTTTTTCTTCCTTCTGGAAAAGAAAGGTTGGATACCAAATTAGGCAAAGGGCCTTATTTGGGAAAATTTTGGACTCGCTATTGTCGTTGTATCTTCTTATTCACACTCGTTTATTTGACTATTGATTTCCAGAGAATACTTACACTTTTCAAATCTTTTATGCGTAAGTAAAAACATGGAAAGGTAAAAGAATGAAATATTTCTCTTACTCATATTTTAGTAAACGCACATAACTCAAGAATCAAAATAATTCAAATTCCTATTCTTTGTATGTAAGCACTCGTTAGTGCCTAGAATTGAATTTGATTGTTGTCGAAGGACTGATTATATTGAATTTCAATAGTTTTAATAACATGCAATCTTTGATGTAACATAGGTCCCGAGTTAAAAGTATCGTGAGCTGAGCACCAAGGTCTTGAGTTTGTGCCCCAAGTCTTGAGTTGGAGCTTAGTAATTGAGATTCGTTATCATATGTTTTCTAAGGATATTAATAATTCGATGAAATTTAATGGTACGATTTATTAGTATTCATCTTTACTTGTAAGTAAGTGTTGTTAGATTCGACTCTCGTTAATGACGTGTTATCTAGGTAACCCACAAGATTGCAAAACGATTGAATTATAGTTCATTTTTAGTACCAAACATAGATTACATTGAATTAATCTCGTCACACGTATGATTTATACTATACTTATTTTACCCGTCAAGATCTAGGTTTGAGTTCTAAATTCAGAGTTTAAAGTTTAGAGTTCAAAAGTGGTACTGGTTCCACAATCCTAAACTCCTTGTTTACATTTCAAATATGAGTTTTTTTTTTTTAGTTTTTTCTTATCATTTCTATGTTCGAGATCCCAAGTCTGAAAGGTTTCCCAAATAATGAGTCAAATTGTTGAATATCTACAATTTGAGAATTGAACTCCGAGGATGAATTCATTTGCATGGATGAAATGGACGTGCCTAACCAATTAATTTCATACTACATTCCTTCAAACCAAACTTTATGTTTTGGTCAATGGACAATTTCATAACAAATTAAAAAAAGACATCCGTACAAAGATTTTGCAGATGCACGAGCATATACAGACGTCTCATAAAATAGTAGAATATATAAACAGAACGTCACTTATGCATATAACGCATGGATAACGATTCTCATCTACATTCAAACACATACATTATCTAAGCACCTTTTGTCAAAATTAACCATAAGCTTTCATATAACAGTGAGAGAGAACGAAAAATACTATCAATTTGGTTAGGAAAAGGATTCGAAGATTCTGATGTGATTATTATATGAGAGGGAAGGCAATATACTATTAATTAAAAGGGTAAGTTCCTATAGTTTATAAAGAATAAAGAACAAAGGAACTAGGTTTTCAGTAGTGCATATATATATATATATATATATCAACATGCCTCTATTATTAAAATAAGAAGAAGCACGCACATGTTTCTCACTTTGATATGGTGACTCAAGATTTAAACAAGCAATGAAGTCCAAAACCGTCATCTAAATATGCACATACGTACACACTATTAGTATGAAGGAGTCATTTGATATGGGTCCAATTGGATTAAAAATTGGACCTATTTCAAAAATCAAAAGTCACTAAAAATTGTACTTATTTTAAAAAATGGGCTATAAAATTGGATCTCTTTCAAAATTTCCCTTATATGAATTAGTCCACTCAATTCGAGCCTAATAAAACATTAGTCAATGCACTCACTAGCAAATTACTAGGAATTATTCAAACTCAATCCTCAACCCATTACAATCATTCAGATGTAACACAAATCTTTAAAGAACTAACGATTATTTATAAAAGTGCAGTCAGGCTTATTGATTATATAGTCTATTTGAGATGTTTTTGGAATGCAAAAAAAAAAAAAAAAAAAAAAAAAAAAAACTTTTCCTGATTATCAAATACAATTATTGCTATATTTTATCTTATTAAAAAAAAAGCACATGCCAAATACTTTTTTAGAAAGCATTTCAAGTTTTTTTTTCTAAAAAAAAAAATCGACATGTTTATAATAAAACACACGTATAATAAAAGTACTTATAAGCTGAAGTGTTTCATACAAAATAACAATTTCACATTAGAAAAGTCAAAGTATCAAGTTCAATGTATAATATTGCCAATATCAACTGCTTATCAACAACATATTTGCATTAAATAGAAGTAGAATTATCCACTATGTAAACACGCTTCATTGTTTTGTTTATAATATATAATTGAGTGCCCAAATGCGTCATAACAAAACTAAGCATATGGAACATGATATTAAAATCAAGATTAAACAAAGATTCTTTAGACCAAATATATACTTTAACAACTAGAATTAGTAACGACTTCAACTACGCGTCACCGCAGGACAAACCTGAACTTATAAATAACCCGCATCCGTGCTGACGCAAGCACCGCCTACGCCATGCGATATGAGGTCTTCGGAATTGCGTCATCCAGGTCCAAAACCTCAGCTGATCCGAAGATTCCCAGGTCCAAAACCTCAGCTGATCCGCAGATTCCGAACCCCATCCATGATGCATGTCGCTTCACTGTGCTTTGTCTCCTTCTAATCTCTCCACTTACGGGTCTTAATTTGTTCATATTTTTCTCTTCCATCATCAAGGTAAACGTTGATTTAATTGGCTTTCTTTTTTCTTTTTACAACAAGGGTAGTCCAATTAGCCAGCTTTAGAAGAACTTAATTTCATTACACAATAATATCTCAATTCAATCACGCGCATTGTTATTCAAGAAAATTAAAACATTGCAGTATGTAGTTGACTTTGAACCCTGATATCTTCCCCAACACAGTTAGTTTCTCTTATAGGGTTCATAACTATTTGTTTTTTAGTTTTTCATTTTTTCTGCTTGAGATATGATGAAAGTATATATGAGAGAAATGAGAGATGAAAATGGATGAGAAAGAGAGAAAGAAATAAATGAAAACAAAATCTTAAAGTAAAAGCAACTCAAAATATATTTTTGTTTTGGTTTTTAATGTTCGCTATGTGTCCTTTTTTTATACATTTTTTTTACATGTCTATAACCATTCGTTATTCATCCATTAATTTTCTTTTGTATTCTCCTCTATTTAAAAAACAATTAAAATGATTATGAAATGATTCGTTTAGTTGGTCCTTACTTCGCACATTTTCTTGCCGGTCCGGTCATATAAATGGCTGATTTTGAAGTCTGGAAACTAAATTGAAAGTCAACTAGCTAATTAGGAATCCGGATCCTCTTTGTGAGGATTCCGAAGATGCGTGAATTGTGTCCGTTTATCGTACATCGTGTGGTCAGAAATCATTTTAAATATTTTTATTTAAAATTAAATACAAACAGTACCTGATAAAAACTGACCGCACGATTTACGATGAACAGACATAATTCATAGATCTCCAAAATCCTCACCAAAAGAATCCAGAGAATCCTGTTGGGCTAATTAGCACCCGATTCATGAATTCATGATCATCTAACTCCTTAAGCCGCCCACCTGGAATTAATCTATACCCTGGGGTGTGACTAGGATGCAACTACCTACAGGTCATGTGTCAAAAGATTTTAGAGAAATGAGCAACAGTTCATAATTAATTACACTTGTTTTATTACTCCAATTTATCTCTAATTATTTGCACAACAAGATAGGGGGAAGAGTTTATCACAAGCAGCCTTGTTTTGACTACAAGAGCAAACATACATTATAATTCATGTTTAAATTTTTAATCATTTGATGTGGGATTCTTATATTTTTTTCGTGGTTCTTGTGATAATAGATTACTTTCGAATTGAATCCTGTAGGGAAAAAGTATTAAACCAACCATCAACAATCACATTATTTTGTTTATTAAATTTAGTTCAAAAAATTAGTCTTCCCTAACATCACCCAAATTTTGACAAAAAAAATACATTACCCAAATGAAAAACCCATAATTCTCCCTCCACCCTATTTTTCCTCGTCCTCCTACCCGAAATCCAAAGCTGTGTCTTCCCCATCTCCTCCACCCAAATTCAAAACTTCCTTTCGCATCTCCCCTTCAACAATTAATATCATTTGTTCCTACACAATCAAAATTAATTAATAGAACAATTCACTATTGTGCAGCCATTTTATCCCATATTTTTTATATTGGAAAATATTAACATTTAGATTTATTTTACTATTTGAATTTTGACCCAACTTGTTAGAGTTAAGTTTTTGTTTTCTTGCTTATTAGGGATTATATAGGGTTAATTTATTATAAATAGTGCTTCGTTATGCAGTAGAGAATAAGTTAGTCAGGATGTAGCCATGAATTTGTAAATTGTTATCATTCCAACAATTTTGTTTATTCGTTTCTGTTAATAAAATAAGGTTCATATTTCGTTTGTTCATCAGTTTATTTTCAACTTGGTATCCGAGCAAGTTTCATCATTCAAGGTTTAATTTGCTTCTGTTCGTATCAATCTATCTATTTGTCATTGTTAGGTTTTGTCTTAAATCGAAAAACAAAATTGTGGTATCTAAGTCGTACCGCGGGAGCCACATTGCACCGGAGCCGAGTCGACACCTAAAGTTTGCACCTTGATGCACCGCACCGATTCTTGCCTAAAAGCCTAGCACCCATTCTCCACAACCCCTATCCTTGAATTAAACTAGCATGCACTCGTATTTGCATGAACCGCACCCACCATCGTTTATGCATCAAATCACCAGCATGCTATTGCCTGAAACCACTTGTAGACATCGAAATTTTGGTGAAATAAATGTTGACCAATAGTTACAATTTCAACGCTCACGTGTCACATAAAT